AATTGATGGGTTTTGAACCTGAAGGATCAAATAGTTTCACTTAATTGTATTAACCAAATTGATTTGAAACCAGCAGAATTATTTGCAGTGCTTAAGAAGTCATTATGCTCCATCCAAGCGAGACCAATGGGTCACCTTGGGATCTGCAGTTGGAATTTTCCTTTATGGCAAATACATTGGGAGCCGAGTCATTTGTCCTAAAGAGACTCTCTCAGCAAAGGTTCACCAAACCTGTCTTGATTAATTTTTCAAAAGCACATGAGGAGATTTACCAATTACACTTTCAAGGGTTGATTTGATCAGCTTCACATGGTTGCACAATCTGCATATTGCTGCTCTAAGCTCCAACAGACTAAAATAGTTAAAAAAGGTCTGATGGAAATGAACTATGAACTAAATTCTAATATGATCTAAACTTGTATGCTTTAAATTACTGCATATTTGAGGTGCTGCATATAAAATGATCTAATGCAAATTCTCATACCATTGCTGAAAAAATAGTCAGGCAGCAAATATTAACTCCTCTTGGCCAGTGGGGGACACTGTGACAGCAAACAGTAAGGTAACTGAAGGTGACACAGTAGCCCACTGCAGAACTATTTTAAGGTAAGTTTTTCTCTCACCTCTTGCCTTGGTTTCTATGGCAGTTATGATTACAGTAATGTGGTTGTAAGTACTCCGCATTTTAAACTCACACAGACATTATATTATTTCATATTGAAATATATTGCCTTTTCTTTTTTGGCCTCTTCTAAAATCTCTAAGTGTGGTCCTTGGCCCAGCAGTAACTGCATGGAAGCCGGTTAGAGATGCCCATTGATCTGCACGCACATCAAAGGCAAGCAGCACTCTCTGAAGGGTTTGCCACCCGGGCTGCATATTAAAATTGCCTTCGCTGCTTTTAAGGCCTAAGATTCCTTGGGATCCCCACTCCCGGGGATTCTGCTTTAATTGGTCTGCAGGTGGGGGCTGTGCATCCTGAGATTTAAAACTTACACAGGTGCAGGCTTGAGACTCACCGACTTACATTGCATCACAGTACCCTTATTTTCAAATTTACCATTCTGAAAACAAACCAAAATGCAACAAAACATTTCATATATTTTATATAGTATCTTTGTTGTTGCACAAAAGATGTCTAGAAATTCAGGATTTTTCTCATACAATCCATCCGTTAATTAAATAACTTTTTCTTTTAAGAACAAATGTTTTTATCTCATGCCTAGCTGGCCCTGCTAATTCAATCTTTTGCTTTAGGCTTTGTTATGTTAAAACCTATGCGGTGTCTCACAAAATGTGAGGACAGAAATAGGAAACTGAGAAAGACATGTTTTGCTTTTATTCATTATCATGGTAGGATAAACACAGAATATCACAAGAGAAAAGAATTTCAATTGTGAAATTCAGAGTATACACATGAAACTAGGTAAGTTCTCCAGATAAAATATAGGCAACCCAGTTAAATTTGAATTTCAGATCAGCAATGGATACTTTTTTACTCAATAATTTAGTATAAGTATTTAGTATAAGTATGCCCCATGCAAGCACAGGGGAATATTTTTATTTGCTAAATATGGTAGCCCTAAGCAATAGGTCATGTAAAATAAACAGTAAATGATATCTGTAACTAATAAAAATTGGAACCTATATGCTCTGATAGCAGGATACCTACACAAATGGCCTTTATGGAATATTTTGTAATTTAAAGAACAATAACATGTACTCCTTGATTATAGCCCAACAGGAAATCTAAGTGTTTTTTGACAAAGACCCCTCTTTGAGGTGAGGATTGAAACATGACTAATAATTTTGAAGAATTCCATGCATTCTGATTACCATTATACTAATATTTTTTACTAATTTATGTGTGAAAAATCGAACCCCAAAACAAAACACTTTATGTTCTTAAAACAAAACAAGGAAAAGGAAAAACATTACTAAACATTCTGAGCTGTTGGAAAATCTAGCCAGCAGAGGGTGCTAATGTATCACGGATGAATTTTGAGCCACAAAAGGCTTTTACAATGCTTTGTGCAACTTAGATTTTATTTAAATGTTTATTTTAGTCAGCGTTGGCGTGCAATGTTGCTAAAACAGATTAGAAATTAAACGCAGTTCTAGTGTACTGCTCAGCACTCGCATTTCCCTAAATGATATATTTCTTTTGCTCAAGGTCCTTGGCTAAGAAATATTCTGTAGCCCACGTCGGCAATCAGAAGCACTGTGCTCCGGATTTAGGCTTGAGTGCTGGCGTCTCCGCAGGTGTGTGTGACTGTGTGCGTGGTCATAGGTCTAATTCAGAAAGGCAGTGGTGGTGAAGGAAATAAAAATCCCAGTCAGGGTGGCGAAGACCACGGCTGTCCCGACTTGACTCCCGAACTGGAGAATGCGTGTCACACGCCGCAATTCTGACCTCAAATGTACACACCTCAAAAGGTGGTGTAGGGCTATTTAAATGCAGGACAATTTTATTTTTCTGACAGTAGAGAAAAGGAGCATTTCTTGTGGGCTTTTGTGCTAGGCTTGACCTTTTATATCTATGATTTCATTTCAATCTCATGACAACACTGTGAGACAGGTATTATGATCATCTGTTTACAGATGAAAAAAAACAAAAGCCTAGGCTGAGAGAAAAGGTGTTTCCATGGACACTATTCTTGTCTGCAGCGGGGACGCATTTAACATTTGCCCAAAGTAGCCTTTCCCAAACTTTGTTCTGAAGGGCACTGGTGCCTTTCAAGGTTTCATAAGTTTTCCTTATGAAACGATTTTGGGAAATGTTGCAAATTTTAACCCTCACAGTTTCACAATGCACAAACAAGTTTTAAAGTTTCTTCAGAAATTCTGTGGCAATGAAACATTTCATTTTTTTCCAACTCAGGTTTCTCAATACTAATGGACTAAGGAATTCTGCTTCTCCCTCCATTTTGAATAGAATGACCATCCATATTGCAAGACATGTACCTTTTGTGGTTTGAGAAACATGGGTCTAATTGAGTAAATATATAGGGTATATTTCATGGTAGGAATAAAAGGGTCATCATCATCATCATCATCATCATCATCATCAAACTATTGTATTCAGCTCTTTGGTTTATTGGGCATTGGGTTAGGACCCAGGGATAGGACACAGACCCAATAGGTTAAATGAGGAGGAAAATGCCTTTTGTTTGAATGGGAAGATAGCTTTAATTCCTGTGACTTTATTTCTCCAACTTTTATAAGAGGATGGTGATAATGGGTAACAGGGTTTCCAATGATTTCTTTTTTTGTTTGTTTTTCCCCAATGATTTCTTAATGTAGCATTCTGTTTCGTTTTCCCTAGTGAACAATTAATTACTACTTTCTCCCATTAATTTAGTATGGCTCAGATGTTCGGAGATGAGAAATTGGAACGCTTGATTATGAGTAAATTCTAGATAGAAGTCATTAAGAATCACACCTCTTTGACACACCCTGGGAAAACAGATGTTCTCTTTTCCACATATGTGTGCACACATGTACACGCACACTCAATTTCGTCTCATCAGTGCATTACCTCTTCATGTAATTTGTTAGATGAATAAAAGCAAATGAAGGACGTGGACATCTATAACCAAGGGAGTGGTCAAAGATTTGAAGTTTAAAGGACACAAATTTCAGATGTTATTCAGTAATCTGAGGGCTGGCAAGTTATCACGGAGCCAGACATCTCTAGCCTTTTCTTCTCCAGAGATGTGATATTCACATGATCTGATACCTTTTCTCTAAGAACCTTTTAAACCTTATCAAGCAATGTACCATACTACCAGTGGGGCAAATGAAATTAATTCATACGTGCACCATTAATAGAAGTTAGAAATGAAATATTCAGTTGTGGTTCAGTATGCAAAAGGAAACTTGGATACAATGAAAAATAATGCAGATAATTCAATGTTGAAATATATTTTCCTGAGGTGTTCACATGCCTATAACAAAAAAAAATAATTTTTCCTCTTGAATCACCTTATTCAAGCAGCTCCATTGATTCACTCTGTGCATCCCTTTGAAGTAGGGCTCTGCTTGAAAAGGCTCCGGGCACACAGCCACGCTTTGGGAAGTATCATGACTTGTATCTCCATCTAATCACGTTCATCTTCTTGGGGAGAATATACAAAAGGCTTTCTCTTTGCTTCTACGCATCTTACCAGCTTTCTCTTCCTATTAAACTACCAGGCCTTATTTATTCAGCTCATAAATAACAGAGCAGAATAGAAATAATAGGGCACTGATGGGGAATTGTGTTTTTCCACATCATGACTGTAGATAAGTTATCTGAGACAACTTTTCAGAAGCCAATTTCAGTATAATGGTTCAACCCAAAATCCATCGAAAGGAAGTCATTTGCTGCCATGATTAGGAGTGATTATTTCCTCTTTACGTTGATAACACCTAATCCTTAATCCTCCTTGTGAGATTTGCTTTAGCATCTAAAAATAATGGACATTTCTGAAAATGTGCTCTGGCACCTGGTAACTGTTCCATCTTAAGCAACTTATTTTAGTTTTGGGGTATTCTCTTGATTAGTAAAATGGGGACGCCACCACATATTTCACAGGGCTGTAACGGGGAAGAATGAAGTGATCTGTGTAAGACACTCACCAAGTGCCTGGTAAACAGCCGGAGCTCTGTGGTGAGGCCAGCTCTTGGCTTGGTGGAGACTTCCTCTCAGAAACCTTTCTTGGCACTCCCTACCCCTCCTGACCACACTTAGTCAAGTTTTCTTCCCCCCCCTTTTTTTATGTGTGACCTTTATTGCACCATTTAGAACACAGCACGGTGATTGGTTGTTTCATTTCTCCCTGACTAGATTGTAAACCTTCAGAAATTGGGAAGTTTAGGGAGTTTCTTTTTCAGGGAGTGATTCAGGGTGTGGCTTGAACCCAAATTTCTTGAGTTTGAATCCAACTCTACTGTGCCTACTGCGTGGTCCTGAGCAATTTACTTAATCTCTCTGTGCCTTGTTTTCTCATTTGAGGAATGGATGTGATCCCAGGACTGACATAGAGGGTGAGGATTAAATGAAATAGCTCTGATAAAGTTGTGGATACACACCTGGCACGTAGCCAACACTCCATAAATGTTAGTTATTTCAAGGACAGTTTTGAAGCCGCCACAGTGCCTGCCTGAGACAGGTGTCCTAAAGGAGCTGGTGTGTGAAATGACTGAACAGAGGAACCAAAGGGAGAACATGGATCACTGCCTGGATGGGTCAGTATATCACAGAGAATGTAATTTGAGATGGTCTTCATAAAAAATAAAATTTCAGAAGTTACACATAAAAACATTCTTTTTTAAAAATATATTTTTTTATTGCTTTCAGAGAGGAAAGGAGAGGGAGAGAGAGACAAAAACATCCACGATGAGAGAGAATCATGGATCAGCTGCCTCCTGCAAGCCCCACACTGGGTTTGAGCCCACAACCCGGGCATGTGCCCTTGACCGGAATCAAACTGGGACCTTTCAGTTTGCAGGCCGACGCTCTATCCACTGAGCCAAACTGACTAGGGCCACATAAAAACATTCTTATTAAAAAGTTCAAATAATGTAGAATTATATCAAGTAAGAACAAGAAATCCCCATTCATACTCTTTCTTTATTTTTTTAAAATATATTTTTATTGCTTTTAGAGAGGAAGGGAGAGGGAGAGAGAGATAGAAACATCAATAATGAGAGAGAATCATTAATTGGCTGCCTCCTGCATGCCCCACACTGGGGATGGAGCCCGAAATCTGGGCATGTCCCCTGACAGGGAATGGAACCATGACCTCCTGTCTGGGCATGCCCCTGACAGGGAATGGAACCATGACCTCCTGGTTCATAGGTTGATGTTTAACCACTGAGCAACACCGGCTGGGCAGTTCTCTTTCTCCTCCCCAGTTTCTCACCACTCTATACATACCAATGTTAAGTTTGATGTATAGCTTTCCAACCTTTGTTATTTTCTGCGTTTATAGTTTACTCTTCGTGTTTCAGGTGTGTGCCCTCATGCCCATAGACTGAAAACCAAAATCTACTACCCATTCACCCAAAATGTCAGAGATTAATTAAGCAATTAGAATTAGGAATTAATTCTAAGTTAAGTTAGAAACTTACTACTAACTACTCATTTTAAAAGTAACTACTTTATGCCTGAAGCACATCTTTCATTTTCTTTTTAAGATGACTCGTATGCAGAGAAAGGAGACTGCCCTTGTTTGGAGATAATGGAAAGAGTGCCTGTTCAAAGATTCTCTCCCACTGCTCTGTCCTGTGCAATGTTCTCATTAGAGCTGACTTTCTCCGAGGTAAGGTATTACTGCCAGAAAGCCCTTGTGAAGCTGCAGTAAGCAGAGTTCCTGGACAAGGCAGCTTATGGGAAGGGAGGATCCCGGGAAGCTCTGTTCATGTCCGAGTCTGGCCTTTGTCCTGTCCTGCTCAAGGCATCAGAGACTCAGCTCTGATCCAGAGCTTTAACTCTCTTGGATCCTGCTCCTTGGTTTTGCCATGCTCTGGTTCTTCAGGAAGAGTTCCTGTTGATAGACTGCTTTCATATTTTGAAAAACCAGTAGGAGGAGCTCTTAGATGAGCCGAAGCGATAGCTGTTCTTTGATAATACTGTTTTTTATTTCTAAAGCACTGTGCACAGACTTAGAGGCATTTTAATGTGGTAAGTTTTTTAAAAATCTCTTTAAAAAGTAAATAGAAAGGGGCATGTGAATTTTTTATCAAATCATTAATCTAAAAACAAAGCCTTGAATGTTGCCTCATATTTTCTAATAATGTATTACTAACATTTTCTTCTTATTATACTTCTCTTTTGATTTTAAATTAATGGTTTGAACATTATTATAGCTGTTTCAGATTTGAAGACTTATTTCAGGCTTCGAGTAACATCTTTTGGGAAAACAGGATTGTATATTCATAGATGTTGCTGGTTTCCTAATTAAATCTTATATTTTTTAAATCCTCATCCAAAGGTTTATATATAATACTAGAGGCCTGGTGCCTGAAATTCGTGCATGGAGTGGGGGTCCCTCAGCCCAGCCTGCACCCTCTCCTATCCGGGACCCCTCGGGGGATGTCCGACTGCCTCTCACAATCTGGGACCGCTGGCTCCTAACCGCTCACCTGCCTGCTTGCCTGATCGCCCCTAACCCCTCTGCCTGACTGCCTGATTGCCCCTAACCACCTCTGCCTGCTTCCCTGATCGCCCCTAACTGCTCCCCTGCTGGCCTGATCTCCCCTAACCACCTCTGCCTTGCCCCATACCCGGGACCTAGGATTCCCTCCACCAGCCAGTTGCAGGCACCCAGGACCCAGGCCAGCTTCACCCAGGCCGGCCGCAGCTGCAGGGGACTGTGGGAAAGTGGCTTCACCCTGGACACAGCTGCAGGTGCCCAGGACCATGGGGCGGGCAGCTTGTCCCTCTCCCGGGCTGCAGCCGCAGCCACAGCTGCTGGCACCTGGGACCGCAGGGAGGGTGGCTTGTCCCTCTCCCAGGCCGTAGCCCGAGACACTGGCACCCGGGACTGCAGGGGTGCAGCTTGTCCCTCTCCCGGGCTGCAGCCTGGCTGGTCCCCATTTCTCTCTCATAAGCTCATTTGTGCCTGGCCGGTCCCCATTCTTCTCTTGTGAGCTCATTTGTGCCTGGTTGGTCTCTATTCCTCTCTCTCGAGCTCATTTGTGTCCGGCTGGTCCCCATTCCTCTCTCCCCAGTGTTGAGTGTCTGAGCTGTTACGGCGTGATGGAGTGAGGGCGTGATGACCATTTGCATATTAGCTCTTTATTATACAGGATATATAATATATATCTTCCCCCCCATTATTTTTAGAGAGAGTAGAAGGGAGGAAGGGGGAAGAGAGATAGATAGATGATAGATAGATAGATAGATAGATAGATAGATAGATAGATAGAGAGAAACATTGATCTGAGAGAGATATGGGGAATGAACTGGCAACCCAGGTATGTTCCCTCAACCTGGAAGTGAACCTGTGACCCTTCAGTGCGCAGACTAATGCTCTAACAACTGAGCAACACCAGCCATGACACTAATGAAATATTTTAGTTTTTACAATATTTTACTACTTTTATTTGCCTAAATATTTACATTATCATTAAATCAAGGGTTAGTGCTTAAATGTCATTGTATTTAGGACAATGCATTTTATACTGCTAATTCAAGGACCCCCCTCTACTTGATTATAATAAATTGTGAAGCCTCATTTGTTGAAATCTAGGTAGATGCTACTGTTAGGGTGCTCTCTCTTCTTCTTTTTATTTTATTTTAAGATTTTTAATTGCTTTTTATTTTTATTTATTTATATTTTTATTTTTGAAAATCAAATATTTATATTGAGTCAAGCATGTGCGTTGGCCCTTTAAGAGAGTGCCTGAATTTCCAGCCATCTCTCCCTGGCAGACATCGCCCCACTGCTTTTCACAGCCAGATATTATGTGGGCACCCTCCTCAGTTTTGGTGCTCTCTGCTGGGGGGCCCAGCTTGGGAATTAGTTCCCAGACTTCTCAGTGGCAACCCCCCACAGCTGAGATATCTCTCTGGGGCTTCAGTTGCTGTCAACAGGTGCCCGGCCAGCCCTTTCACACTTCTGCCCCTCCTACCAGTCTCTATGCGGTCTCCACTTTCGGGCCTCGGGTGTCAGGGTTTTCTCCTGAGAGTTTGCCATTGATTATTCAGGCAGTTTTTCTGTATTTTAGTTGTAATACCAGTTTGTTCCTGGGAACATGTCCATGCAGCATCCACTTACTCTGCCACCATTTTTAATCTCCTGGATTCTCTCTCTTCTGTGCCCAGTCCTTTATGTGGAAGTTAGCAGCTATTAAAATCCACCCCTATCTTTTCAAATGATTATAATGTTTTGATGAAGTAAAAAAGCATTTCTCACAAAAAGGTATAATCAGAAAAGTTCAGTTATGTACCAATGATTGTGAAGAACTGGCACCACACTAAGAACTGGTGATATATGAGGTCACAGTTATCTTAGCTCGGTTCCCCTCCTAAAGCAGAGCCTGACAAGGGCTTGCTGGCAGGGAATTTTATTTTGGGAAATAAACAGGAGAGGAAACTGGAAATAGTGAAATAGGGAAGGAAACGAAGTGTTACTGAGCTGGCTGACCACAGTGGGAAACAAGGGTTTAGTGCCACTGGGAACCCCTGAGAAGCTGTGTAGGACACCCCTCAGAATTGCCCACTTGAGATATGGAGGTGGGCAATACACAATCACTTGAACAAGGATTGTCCTTGGAGGTGTTAACTTCCTCCACTTCCAAATTTGTGTAAGAATCCGAATGTCTGAGTGACTCTTGGTGTCCCCCTAGCAGAGGCAGAGAACCCCAACAGAAAGCAAGAGATACTGGTGCAGCTGTCCGTTTTCATCTGCTGGTTGCCATGGCCAAGGCTGGACTAAAAAAGTGGGCCAAGAGGATGTGAGATAAGGCAGAAGAGGAGTCTGATAACACAGCCATATGCTCATGGACCTTACTGTCTAGTGGTAGACTCAGACAATAGGCTATTACAAACAATACAATGTGAGACAATAAGACTCACTGTGTTGGGCTACAGATAACAGAAACTCAACAGTTGTAACAAGAAGTCCCAAGGAAGGCACTTCAGGGCTGGTATTAATGCTCAAGGAAGTCATGCAGTACCGGGCTCTGGGATCTATCCAACTTCCTGCTCTTCCATCCTTAGTGTCTGGCTTTCATCCCCATAGATTGTTCTAATTCTGGATGCTTTGACTATGTTCTAGGAAGGAAGACAGGGAAAGGGTAAATAGCAAGGTCATGTGCCAGTAAGTCCATCTGTGTTTATTAGAGTTTTATAGCTTTCTTCAAGCCAGACCCAATAGAATTCTACTGACCTATCATTGACCAAAGTGGGTCAGATGATCATTCTTGGCTCAAGGGAGTCTGGAAAGATGAATACTTTTAACTGGACACATTGTACTGTGAACAGAGTTATTCTGTTAGTAATAAAGAGGGGAGAAAGGATACTGAGTAGGCAACTTATAGTTTCTGCCTTAGAAGTTCAGAGTGCTGTGGGAGTATGAAGGAAGGAACCAAGGTCTGGACTAGGGTGGAGGAAGGTTAGTTAAAGAAAGCTCTCGAAGATGACTTTTGACTAGGTCTTGAAAGATGAGCTAGCCAAGTAAAGAATATGTGAGCTTGTGTATGATGTCAAGGGGCAGGAAGGGGATGAGTGGGAGGACAATCTAGACATTATGTAGAAGAACATGGAAATATCAAAAAATTATAGCATTTAAGAAAAATTTCAGAGATATACCATGTCTAGAGAATTGAATGCAAATGGGTAGTGATGAGGTATAACTCTGACAAGTCTAGAACCTGACTGAACTAAAAAGGGCCTTATAGGCCATAATGAGAAATTTGGATTTTATCTGGATGATTATGAAAAGTTGTTGAAGTATTTTAACAGGCAGGTGATGGGCTAAAACCTGTAATCCAAGGAAAAAGTGGTATGGAACTGACTTTATAAGGATAGAGATAAGGGGACAGATTTAAAAATTTTGTAGACAGAATTGATGGGACTAGGTGGACAACAATGTGATGTGATTTCTCTAACACAGCAACATAGGAGGAGAGAAGATTTTGAGGGGAAGATGATGAAGGGATGTGCTGAGGTGGAGGCTCCTATGGGACAGGCAAGAGGTGATGTCCAGTAGGTAGTAAGAATGTTGGAACTGGAACCTTTGCAAGAGATGAGCTGAAATTGTAGATTGGAGGTCATTGGCATTGAGGTGGCAACAGAAGCCTGGAGCAGGGCCTTCAAATGGAGAGGGTTTAGGAAAGAAGAGCATGGGAGACAGTACCAGAGGGTGCACCAACACTTAGAAGATGGATAGAAGATAAGCCATAAAAGAGACAGAGAAGGAGGGGGAAGAGATACAAGTACCTCCAGGAGAAAGTGATGTAGTGAGAGCCAGGGAGGCGGGAGAGTCAGCATATGGTGTAGTGGCCAATAACACGAGCTTCAGAGTCACAGAGCCCTCATTCCAGACTGTCTTCTACTCATTATTAATTGTATGATCCATTTCAAATGTACTTAGCTTCTCTATGCTTCAGTCTGCTTCCTCATTTTTAAAAAATATATTTTATTGATTTTTTTACAGAGAGAAAGGGAGAGGGACAGAGAGCCAGAAACATTGATGAGAGAGAAACATCGATCAGCTGCCTCCTGCACACCCCCCACTGGGGATGTGCCCGCAACCAAGGTACATGCCCTTGACCGGAATCGAACCCAGGACCCTTCAGTCCGCAGGCCGACGCTCAATCCACTGAGCCAAACCGGTCAGGGCTGCTTCCTCATTTTAAAAATGAGGTTCATAATACACTTACCTCAGCATTGTCTTGAGCATTAAATGAGATGGTGTATAAAAACTGCTCAGGACTGCGCCTGGCTCAGAGAAAGTTCTTAAAGAATGGTAGCTTTCATATTAATATGATATTAGAAGTGTCTCTTTAAGAGTGTCAGGAGATTCAGATAGATCAGAAGAATGATGTAAAAGGGTTGGAAAACACCCATTGGACTATGATTCAAGGAGGTCATTGGGAGCCTTGATGAGCTTCAATGGCATGGTGGAGGCAGAAGCCAGAATGGGGGGGCGGTGGGGGAGAACTTGAGGGGGTAAATGGATTGTGAAGAGGTAGACGATGATGGGTTTATCAGGGTGTATTATACAGGGGTGGATAAAAGTAGGTTTACAATTGTGAGTCCATGAAAGAGTTTAATAATTAATTATTGTATTACTTATTTGTATTTTAACTATAAACCTACTTTTGCTCACCCCTGCATTTTTCTGGATGTTTAAAAATTTCATAATAAAAAAATTAAAAGGGGCTTGAATAAAGGCCATTTATTGTAAAATTATTTTACTTTTCCTCCAAAATATTTAACACATGATAGACACAGCAGAAGCCCTTGGTGAGGAGGAGGGCTCAGGCTTTGCCTGGTGGGAGAAGCTGGCAATAGCCCAAGTAGGATGATTTCCAGAGTTATGATGTTGCCAAGGGGAAACTCAATTGTTTGTATTTATCAATCAAGCTCAGAGTATGCATGTATCGATCCCCACACCAGTGTGTACTTTGGAGTCAGACCAGTATATTCAAATTCTGACTCCGCCACTTGCAAACTGAAATCTTGGATGACTAACCACTTTGTGCCTCAGTTTTATAAATTTATAAAATAAGAATAATAGCCCCTATCTCCTATGGTTGTTATAAAGAATATATGAACAAATACATATAGGGTGCTTAGAACAGTGTTGGAGACTAAGTGCTCAAAATATATTTATTTTAAATACAATTCTATTGTTCTATCTAATCTAACATTTTTACACTTAAAAAATCTTATATTGAGTGATTTTTTTTCCCCTTGAGGAAATTCCGAAGTGGTGTTATCTTTCTTTGTATTATTCTTTTCAGGACTGTGGCAAGTATAACTATGATGTTTCTCATGATGAGGTGATATAACCACTTAATTGAGACATCTCACACCATGTTAGTCAGGATAGGATATATTATGCTGCAGTAACATATTAGCCCCCAAGTCTCAGTGGCCTAATCCGTAAAGCTTTCTTTCCTATTCAAGCTGCACATCCAGTTTGAGTGGGCAGGTAGTGGGGCATGGCGTGTGGGGTAGGCTAGTGGTGAGCTCTGCCCCACAGAGTCATCAGGGACCAGCCTGACAGCAGTTCCACTGTCCTGAATGTCTCTGTCCCAACAGGGCATGAGACAGACTGGAGGGGGGTTGGAGAATTGTACCCTGCTTCAGCGTACAAATGAAACAAGTTACTTCTCCCATATTATTGGCCAGAACTTAGTCATAGGGGGCCTTCTAACTGTAAGAGGGCTGGGACATGTCATCTTCTGAATGTCCATTAAGAAAAATAAATCTGTATATGGATGAAGATGGGCAGTATCTATCAAAGCACATGGATATTTAGGCTGCTAGGGTGGCTGCTTATAGGTGGAGGGGGCAATCTGAGGGATCATGGGGTTCACTCTAAGAAACCACAGAGAAGCCACTGAAACTTCTGGGTACTAGTAAATTGTACCAGGATATATCTGGCCTTTAAATAATGAGAGGCAAACTAGAGTTAAAACATAATTGCACAATCTACGGAAGCCCAAAGCCTCAAACAGATGGTTGAGAATGGGCTGAACATTAAAAACAGACTTACTAGAGCATGTGGTAGAAGAAAATCAGGAGCACCCGTCCTCACTCATGGACCCCGGGAAGAGTTCTGAGCTCAAAGACCAGGGCACGGAGGCATCATTTTTTTTTGGTTAGTAACTTGTCCTTTACTTTAACATTTGGCTTCAGTTGGCAAACAATAACTCTAAGCAGTAATAAATTAATTGCAGTCAGCTGTCCAGCAGTTCAGGTTTTCAGATTTAAATGTAGGCAAATGCTAATTTATTCATTTATGCCCGTCTAACTGCTAAGACATGGTAATATACCCTTTCTTGTAAATAGAAAATAGCAACCAAAGTGCCCTTGGCCAAGAAGTAGCTCCTCCCCTCCCCAAGAGGTAACTTTAAAGTAGGACCTAAATTAGTTTTTAATATTTACACAAAAAGCTGATTTTCATTTTTTTAAAAATATATTTTTATTGATTTCAGAGAGGAAGGGAGAGGGAGAGAGAGATAGAAACATCAATGATGAGAGAGAATCATTGATCGGCTGCCTTCTGCACGCCCCCTCCTGGGGACCAAAACTGCAACCTGGCATGTGCCCTTGACCAGAATCGAACCTGGGACCCTCTAGTCCGCAGGCTGACGCTCTATCCACTGAACAAAACTGGCTAGGGCAAAAAAAGCTTTTTCTTTTCAAAACAATTTTTAAAAAATTTAAAATAACCTTGGTTGCAGGCTCCTCCCCAGCCCAGTGTGTGCAGGAGGCAACCAATCTACGTGTCTCTCTCACACTGATGTTTCTGTCTTTCCACTCTTCCACTCTTTAAAAAATCAATGGAAAAATATCCTTGGGTGAGGATTAAAAAAAAAGTTAAAAATATTAAAACATGAACATGGAATACATGAAGTCTTATCAGGGTGGATTGTGACAGTAGAAAACATTTGAATAACTTCATTATATAACTGAGCCAAGAATTCTTGTGGTGTGGAATCTTCAGAGGATTTGCCTCAATATTCTCCATACTTTGTTGACATAAATCCTTTCTTTTTGCTATTAGAGAAAAATGGCAAAGTCAGCATGTCCTGCCCAGTAGGAAGCCCTACCAGAGGGATGGTTTGGGGCTTCCTAGAAGATATTTTACCTGGCCAAACTCCTCAGTGAGCCAGTAGATGATGACAACACATTCATCCATTTTTTCCTTTTAAATTGCCTAGAGCATGAGAAGCTAGGGGTCTCAAGAGAGGGTGTCAAGGTGGTTCATAGGCCATTTACTGCTGAAGTGACTATAAAGCCCTTTTCTTTCTTTCTTCCCCTTTAAACATGTGAATTTGGAAACAGCCTATTCTAGATGAAAATCTGAAGCTGATCCCATGGAAAAAAGGAGCTGTCACCCCCAGCTGACTGCATTTTATGTTTTTTTTTTTAATTCTCACCTGAGGGCATGTTTTTTTATTTTTTTATTTTAAATTCTTTATTGTTTAAAGTATTACATAAGTCTCCTTTTCCCCCCATTGACCTCTCTCTGGCTGCCTCCACCCCCAGCACATGCCCTCAACCCCTGCCCCCATCGGTGTCCATTGGTTATGCTCATATGCATGCATACAAGTCCTTTGGTTGATCTCTTACCCCCTCACCCCTCACCTTCCCTCATGGTTGGACAGTCTGTTCGATGCTTCTCTGTCTCTGGTTCTATTTTTGTTCATCAGTTTATGTTGTTCATTATATTCCACAAATGAGTGAGATCATGTGCTATTTATCTTTCTCTGACTGGCTTATTTCGCTTAGCATAATGCTCTCCAGTTCCATCCATGCTGTTGCAAATGTTAAGAATTCCTTCTTTTTTACAGCAGCATAGTATTCCATTGTGTAGATGTACCACCGTTTTCTAATTCACTCATCTGCTGATGGGCACCTAGGCTGTTTCTAAATCTTAGCTATTGTAAATTGTGCTGCTATGAACATAGGGGTGCATATATCCTTTCTGATTGGTGCTTCTGTTTCTGAAGACATATCATACCAATATTTTTATTGATTTTTTTTAGAGAGAGAGAGAGAGAGAAAGAGAGAGAGAGAGAGAGAGAGAGAGAGAAACATTGGTGTGAGAGAGAAACATTGATTGGTTGCCTCCTGTATGCGCCCTGACTGGGGATCAAACCTGTAACCTAGGTATGTGCCCTGACCAGGAATTAAACCACAACCTTGAGGCTTAATATGTTTGAATTGTCTATTTCAATATTCCGTGGACCTGAAAGTGTAACCTCAACAACTGCTTGGGCTGCAGACATCTGCGCTGGTGAGGTAAACCTTGGGTGGAAGCAGGTGAGCTATTGGGCATGCAGGAGAGAGGATTAAGATTCTGATCTGATGGGCAGGAATGACCCCAGTGGCGAGGAAAGTTTGAAGTGGGGATTAATTTTACAGGTGGCCAGTTCATTAGTGGAGTATTTCTCGTTCTAAGAACTTTTGCTTCCATTGTAACAGATTTAGAATGAATGCTCTGAAAATGAGGACTCCAGTAGGGCATGAGATGTCTGCTTATATTCGTTCCAAAGCAGTTCATCTGGTCATTCCAAACGTATACTCCACCCATGCAGATGGTGGGGAAGGAGGAGGGTGTTTCTGAGCAATAATCCACGCTTGCATTGAAGACCACGGATAAGGTACATGGAAGATGCCCTTCACCCTCTCTGCAGAGGAGAAGGTGAGTGCAAGCAGGTCCCGGGGGAGAGGCACAGGGATGGAGAAAGCCTTCCTCCAGTGTGGCTGGTGGCTCGGCGGCTCTGTTGAGTTGGGTCTCCATGCTACCCTTTGCAGTCATGAATAGCACGTGGGAGACCAAAAAATTTTAGTCCATGTTATATCTATATCTATATCTATATCTATATCTATATCTATATCTATATCTATATCTATATCTATATCTATATCTATATCTATATCTATATCTATATCTATATCTATATCTATATCTATATCTATATCTATATCTATATCTATATCTATATCTATATCTATATCTATATCTATATCTATATCTATATCTATATCTATATCTATATCTATATCTATATCTATATCTATATCTATATCTATATCTATATCTATATCTATATATCTATCTATATCTATGTGAAGATTATATTTATGTAAATAAATACCATGTATTGAGCCCCTGCTATGTGTCAGGCCTTGTGCTAAGTGATTTTCATGCTTATTTCAGATCTTGACAAACTTTTTCTAAGGGACAAATAGTAAATATTTTAGGCTTTGCTCTGCTGTTGTAGTGGGAAAGCAGCCGTAGACAGTACAAGTGTGAATTGTTGAAGCTGAGTTCCAATATCACTTTATTTATAGACTTTGAAATTTGAATTTTACATAACTTTCACATGTCTTGAAATATTATTCTTTTGATTGTAAAAACTATTAAAAATGTAAATGCCATTCTTATGTTGTGGGCTGCAAAAACATAGGGGTGGGCTAGATTTGGCTTGTGGTCCATAGTTTGCTGATCCCTGCTTTATCTCATTAAATCTGCACAATATATCTCACGAGGTAGTTATAGTATCTCATGTTACAGATGAATATTGCAGAGGTTTAGTATTTCTGCTAATTTTGACAATCAGATAACATCCCACCAAGAAGTTAGTGTGATTTCTTTTTTCTTTTGACTAATGACATGTTCATGATGTGTAATAGAACAGTTTCCATTGTTTTCTGACTATATTTTAAATATCACCACTACAGAAGGAAACCTTTAGCTTATTTTTCATGATTTCAAGCACATTGTTGATGCTTAAATTCTTTGATTATGACATATAACAAACACTTTGTTTTAGGCTTCTCTTCCATTTAATTGTGTTATTTGGGCTAATGCTAAAATGTGCTGATGTCTCCTGAATATACTTTGAGGAGAGAAGAGAGCGGTTCTGAGTGATTGCAGAGAAAATCAGAGTGGGATGAAAACTTAGTCCCTTAACAGCAGTTAATCGAGAAATGGCTAAATGTAGATTATTAATGCATGTGCATGTGCACACATACAGCTCGCTCTCTCTCTCTCTCTCTCTCTCTCTCTCTCTCTCTCCTCCCGGAGAAAGAATTCCCTTCCTGAACTTGACAAACCCAGAAAAGATATAAAAGGAGGTTTTCTCTATTTTACATTCTCAGTGTGGTGTATTACTGATGCCTCAGTGAGTTTAAATAAAACAACTGGACTCATAAGAATTCACACATATTTCCAGCATATTACATTTTACACGATAATAAAATTCCTTTATAATATGGATTTTTTGGTTAAATGGATTTAGATAGAATACGAGCCAAATAATGTTCCTTGAAACACAGTCTCTGCATACAGTAAAGATCTGATCCATCATAGAGATTAGGTTTAGCTCCCAGAATTCTCCTATATTTAAAAAACTTGAAACTTTTAATTTAAATGAACTGCAATTAAAGATTTCAGAACGTGCCCCAACTGGTTTGGCTCAGTGGATAGAGCGTTGGCCTGCGGACTGAAGGGTCCCGGATTCGATTCCAGTCAAGGGCATGTACCTTGGTTGTGGGCACATCCCCAGTAGGGGGTGTGCAGGAGGCAGCTGATCGATGTTTCTCTCTCATCGATGTTTCTAACTCTCTAACCCTCTCCCTTTCTCTCTGTAAAAAATCAATAAAATATATTTAAAAAAAATTTCAGAATGCATCCATTGCATATGACTAAGGCATTTAAACCAAAAGGGCTACAATGCAGGGACAGGAGAATTTCGTGTGCTAATGAACAACATATCCACTGCTTGTATGTTTGAAAAATCTAAATTGTCCAGCATGGCTGTGTCTAATTGTACATCACAATATCAGTAGGTAATTGTGCTTTCTATGAGAAAAATTTGTTCCAAAGTCAAAATGTCATCTTGCTGTCAAATAATCCCACAGATTACTAGAAACAGAGCTAGAGAAATTGTGTTAAGACAGAAGATGTGATGTGAATCCTGCTCATTTCCCAAGACATGACTTCCATTGTAATGATCTACCTCTCACAGAAGCTTCCTTCTGCGGTCTCCGGCTCTCCTGCTGCCACACGCACAACTCATTAACATTCGGTCAATGCAGCACCATTTGTGCAGTTAACCTCTGAGCAAAGTGAGGTCATTACTTCATTATGATGAATTCTCTAATAACACAACTTGCATCAAGAATGAATATTTCTCTTTTCCTCATTTATGGTTAAATGAGTAGTTAGTCTAACACCTGGGTTCCATTATATTCTTGTTCTTCTGATCTTGTGTTGAGAATTCAATGGACTTAGAGGAAATTTCAGAACCCTCTTGCTAAGGAAGAGTTACATTTATCTTTGGCTACATCCACATCTACTTTAAATAGTAGAAAAACAACAACAACCCTGTGGAACCCCGGGAACTGGTCCGGAAGGAGTCTCTTGCCTGTCAGGGCATCCCAGGGGAGGAAGAGCCTCTCACATGCAGAGGAGGACCCTCAGGATCTCTGCGATGAGGACAGATGTGGCCATAACGAGTTTATCTGTGAGACCAGATTCTTCCTCAAGAAGCTGAAGCCGAGCCGAAGGAAGAACTTCAATATCTGTCTAGAGCCGGCGATCCTGATGAAGTGTGGAGACCACTGGGTCCGCCCGAGGCATGGCCCTTTGTGAGGAGGAGCAGGTGGAGCCCTTTTGTGACACAGGAACGCGGCAAGATCCTGGTGTGCCTTGTGTACAGCACACAGCAGGGAGGCCTCGTCGTGGGCATCCTACATTGCAGCACCTGGCCCCATGGACGCCAATGGCTACTCAGATCCATTCGTCAAGCTCTGGCTGAAACCAGACATGGGAAAGAAGGCCAAACACGAGACTCAAATTAAGAAGAAAACGTTGAATCCTGATTTTAACGGGGAGTTCTTCTATGACAGCGGTTCTCAACCTGTGGGTCGCGACCCCTTTGGCGGTTGAACGACCCTTTCACAGGGGTCGCCTAAGACCATCCTGCATATCAGATATTTACATTATGATTCATAACAGTAGCAACATTACAGTTATGAAGTAGCAACGAAAATAATTTTATGGTTGGGTCACAACATGAGGAACTGTATTTAAAGGGCCAGAAGGTTGAGAACCACTGTTCTATGACATCAATCATAGTGACTTGGCGAAGAAGTAGCTGGACATCTTGGCCTGGGACTATGACACTGGCAAGTCCAATGATTACATTGGAGGCTGCCAGCTGGGGATCTTGGCCAAGGGAGAGCATTTAAAGCACAGGTATGAGAGTCTGAAAAACAAGGACAAGATTGAGTGCTGGCACCAGCTACAGAATGAGAACCATGTGTCCGGACATTAGAGTGGTGCCCAGGTCCCCAGCTCCATGCCTGTCCCCTGCCCAGGTCTCCCTCCAGCCTGCCCCAGTGGCCAGTTGCACTCTGGTCTTTTGCCACCCTCCCTGAGCCTGCCTTTGGGGTCTCCCCCTCTCCTTGGGCACTTCTTCCCTTCATAATGCTGCTGCTGCAATGCAGACTCTGAAGCAGCCCCTCTCTGGGCCCTCCAGGATGGAGCAGTCAGGATAGGAACTGGGAGATTTTTACAGGGAGGTTGTTCAGTTAACAACCATCCAGTTTAGGTAAGTATGAACATTCTTCATCATTTAGAACTCTCTTGGCCTTTTGTAGACTCTCTTGGCCTCAAACCAATGCACACATACACAACTCGAGTTTCCTGTGTCATGTCTGCTATCCCTCAGTTGTCAGCAGACCAGGACAGGGCTGTGGGGCCTTGTATTGGGGCAGACAGAGCATCCAGGCTCCCACTGCCTCTGCACACATACACCCCAATTGCCAGGAAAACAGACCACCGTGTGTAAGCTCCCTGGTGACTAGGAACACCCCCCGGCCCCGCAAATACACAAAGAGACTTGGTAACCCCCTCTTTCAGGATGTCACCTATTTGCTTCCTAGTAAAAAAATGACACCCCTTCTCTACCCTCTCCACCTCTGTCTCTGCCCTGTCCACCACATGAAACTCTTCGTATATACCCACACCTCTCTCCTCTTCTACTCTCTCCCTCTCTAATAGGGTTAAATAGCAAGAGCAAGAACTATCCTAACACAGCCTCACCCCCTCACCTCCTCTCACCATCCTGATCAGCAAACCCTGAGAAACTGGCAAAACCTGGAGTTTCACTTTGATCCTTGCTTCTTCAAACCACCCACTTCTCTTGTTGGCACAACCAGGTGGCCTCGGGCTGAGGGGCCGGCTGCTGCCACTGCCCCAGGTGCAGGGCAGCATCCCAAAGGCTGTATAGGTGTCCACAGAGTGGCTTTCTCAGCCCTTGGCCTCCCCAGGTGGTTGCAGAAAGTATTTAGAAACCAGAGCTCTGGGTTGAGGGGGGCCTCTTCACAGCCCCAGCATTAGGTTTCTCCTTCCTTTGCTCTTAGTTAAATGAACCTACCACCCCTGTTCCTGATACTTGACTCTGCTTCTTTGACTTTCTCGTGCTCTGTGTCCCACTCAGAATCGCCTCGAACCTCTGTCTCTGTCTGTCTCTATGTCTCTCTATCTCTAGCACCCTCTTCACCAAGTGTGTAGGAAGAATACACCATCATCATGGATCTAAAACTTTAGTGACAGATCCTGATGCCAAAGGCTTTTATTCCATCATGAATCATCCAGTCTTTTTCCTAAAAAAATTTTTTTTAA